ATATAATTCTGTGTAACAAACCACCCCAAAACTGGTGCCCTAAAACAGCAATGATTTATTATTTCTTGTAAGTTTGAGGATTGACTAGAAGTTTTTGTGCTGGTCTCCTCTGAGGTGTCCCATGTGGCTGCATTGAAGTGGTGGATTAGCTGGTTGGAAGATTTAAGCAGGCCACTTTCACATGGCTGGGGCCTGGGTGCTGATTGTCGGCCGGAAGCCTCCTCCGCATGGCTCAGTTCTCTCTCTCTGGTGTCTGCCTCTCCATGTGATACTCTCTCCAGCAGGATAGCTTGGACTTCCTTACCGCATGGCAACTGTATTTCCAGGGTGCGAAGGGAGAAGCTGCCAGAACAAGGCCTTAGCATAGAATTGGCCCTGTGTAACTTCTGTTGGTCTGAGTAAGTCATGGGCTCAGCCTGGATTCAATGGAAAGGGAAATAGTGCCCACTTTTTATGCAGAAGAGCAGCAAATAACATGTGGCCATCTTTGATCTATCTCATCTCCTTTTAAAAAGTGACTGCTTGTCAGCCAAGGGGAGAAACACATTAACGCTTACCTTGTAGGTTGTTGTGAGGATTAAATGAGATGGACGCAAATACAGCATTTAGGGCAGCTAAATACTCTACTTGTCCTGATTTGAGGATCCCCTCTCATGGGTAAGGACTGTTGCCAGGAGTCTGTAATGCATGGGTTGAGCATGTTTCTGTCGAAGTGCTTTAGTTATTCCCAAATGGGGATCAGTGAGATGACGTATGTAAACTACTTAGGACAGTGCCTAGGACATGGTAATCATTCAATAAATGTATGCTATTTCTATTATCCCTATTATTATTGGAGGTCAATGATTCCTAAAAACCAAACCAAACAAACCCCCAAGATTATATGAAACCCACCATCCTGGTTATGAAGAACGTCTCTCCCATAGTAGCTAATTACCTTTGTGTAACAGAATTTCAGAGATGTTTACAATCCCAGAGATAATTTAGACCAATTTCTTGCTTTTACAGAAAGACATTCAAAGTCAAATCTTTGTGACCTGTCTACATCACACAGCTAGTTAGAGAATTAGTTAGTACCAGATCTTAAGACCCCAAGCTTCTAACCAAGGGCTCTCTTCATTGCACCCTTAAGTGTAGAATGTTCCAACTCATTTCCTTTAAAATAAGAATTGGGAATACAAAGTTTTATTCGGTAGGTATAATGCATTTAAATAAACAGTTCAGTTTTATAAATCAGCTGTGTATTTTGGAGGAGAAAGAAAAAAATTGGAAAGATAGAGGACGGAGAAAAATTGTCTAAAGGACAAAGAATTAGAGATGGTAGATACGTACAGAAGGAAAGGAAGAGAGTTAAAAGGTTTGAGATGATTTACTGATAGCTTTTATTAATCTTAAGTGCTGGGATGCGGTAGGGCAGAAACTGGTTCTACCTGTATTCCCAACATTCCTTTCCCCCTTGCCTGGCAGCAGCACCCCTATGACCTTTTTTCGAAAATGTTCCTCTCCAGCTCCAGCCTGGTGGCTCTGATGGTTCTGACAATCACATCACCTTGTTTTCGTGGCCACAAGGATTGGTCCACGGGACACTTCAACCAACTTGGCCAGTTAGAGGCCTTTTCTAGGGTTGATATATACTCTGGGGCAGTAAAAGGAAGGAATCTTGAGCAAGGTTGGCTGGCTTTCTACCATTCATTAGTGAAATCTGGCATAGAGAGAATAGCCATGTCCACTTTCCTTGGAAGATATCTCGGCCATGCCTTCCATCTTCACGTATCCTGCCAATCCTTTATTTGTTATTCTTTTGTTAAGTATTTAATGACATTTGCTATGCACTCGGCACCATAATACAGTCGTAGTTCTTTCACCTCTGGAACCTGGGTCTGATGTGTGAGATAGACAATAAAAAAGTAAACAAACAAATAATTATGAGTGGCGGTAAGAGCCTTGTTGTAGGCTGAATAATGGCCCCCAAAGATATCCGTGTCCTAACCCCTGGTACCTGTGAAGATGTTACCTTACGTGGCACCAGGGGCTTTGCAAGTGTGATTAGTTAAGGCCCTTGAGATGAGGAGATTATTTTGGATTATCTGGGTGGGCCCAATGTCATCACAAGGATCCTTATAAGAGGGAGGCAGGAGGGTCAACTCCAAAGGCGATGTGACAAAGGATGCAGAGACAGAGACTGGAGGATGCTAAGCTGCTGGCTTTGATGACGGAAGGACACCATGGGCCAAGGAACGCAGGTGGGCTCTAGAAACTAGAAAAGGGAAGGACACAGATTCTTCCCTGGAGCTTCCAGAAGAAACCGAGCCCTGCTGACACCTTGACTTTACGATGTCTGACCTCCAGAACTATGAGAGGATAGCATTGTAGTGCAGCATCACTAAGTTTGTGTTAACTGATTGCAGCAGCAATAGGAAACTATCACGAGTCTCAGAGGAAAAGAGTGGGTGCTGTGAAAAGATAATAGGAGGAACCTCATGAAGATTAGGAGGTCAGCGAAGATTTTGGTTCAGAGCTAATGATGGAGAAGGAGCCAGCCTTAGGAAACATGTGTGGTGTTGAGAATTGCATCCAGGGACACAATGACAAAAAAGACCTTAAAAGAGATAGTTCTGTCTGTTACAGTGACCTAAGGAAGACTGGTGGGCAGGAAACAAGAGGAGAGTGGCGTCAGATGATGTGGTTGGTTCACAGATATCCATGTCTGCTCCCCGGTGGTTCATTCTTCCTCCTCCTTGACTCCCTAAGTCCCTCACATCTTCTCATCCAGCTCCAACTACATCCTTGCCCCAAAGCCTTCCATGACCTCAGCAGCTTTACTCATCTCCCCATTTCATCCAAACTGTACTTCCTTCCTCAATTTGGGATCCCTAGATCTCAGAAGATGCCCAGATTTATCCTCCGGGTGGTATCCTCAGATTTTACAAGAATGTTTTAATTTCAATGATAAGTCTAAAATTAATATAAGCTTATGCCATCATTTGCATGCAGCTGCCTGAGTTTCATTTTGAGATTTCAGTGCGTCGGTGGTCCCAATTGAAGGCCAAATGATATGAGCAAGCCATATTAACAAAAGGTCTTGCAGAAGCTTCAAAACCAGCCAAGCCACATAAGCAAAGGTTTTGAAGAAGCTTGAATGGAAAAGAATGGAGGGAAATGAGACGATCAGAGGGCACACAGCAGTATAAGAATCTGAACAGCAGCAGGCAGCACCACGCTGGCTTTGTGAGCAGACGTGTTATGTGCACTCTTTCTTTCTATGTACCTTCTTGTAACACTTCACTAATAGTAAATGGCTTTGAAAATAGGGCAAGGGAGATCTTTTCTCCAGTTTTGCATTTTCTGTTAAGTTAATTGATCTACCAAAATAGTGCATCGGTGGTTAAAAGTGAGGTCATTGAAATAAAGCACAGTAACGAGGACAGTGAACTCAATGACAGTGACTCAAATGATGATTCATCGTGTTCAAAATCAGAAGATTCATACTGATAACAAATACAATAGGATATGCTCAAATATATTTTTCCACTATATGCCCAATAGTATCAATCAAATTTAAGTAGAATATCATCAACTATCATATTAAGTTAATGCTATTTTAAATTTTTTGGTCTTGTATTTTTATTTGTATTTAATTTTTAGATTTGTTTTGATTTTACTGTAAGAGCTGTAAGCATAAGGGGTTTATAACTGATTTCCTGTTTCTACAGATTTAAGTAACTTTACAATAAAATATAATTTAAATCAACACTGGGTATCTGTGAAAAATATTCTTCTTTAAAAGGGATCCATAGCTTATTCAGGTTTGAGATACACTGATTTGCAATGATTACATTGGTACATTTTTTGAATTACTAGTTCTTGAGTTAATAATTCACCTGTGTGAGCTCGTGTGTGCCACCTCTCAAGAAGGCAGAGCTCTCTCAGGGTAGAGAAAGGTCACGTCTTGAGTTTTCTGAGAATCCATAGGCCCAATGGCAGGGCTGGGCACGCAGGAGGTGCCCAGTGAACTTGGGGAATGTAACAATAATGCCTTTCTATTTGCTGTATTTCTGATGCTTTAACGTCTGGGGCTTTGCTGACCCCGGAGAGAGTGCTCCTTGCAGGGTTAGACAACTCTTAGAGATAGCCAACAACTCGCCTTCAGCAGCCTTTCCCAAGTGAATTGAACAAGGGAGAGGCCATCTCTGTGGCTCTTACACTCTACCTGCTTACACCTGACACCTAATCGGTGTATTTGTGTGTCTCCACTGCGTGAACGTGAAGTCCTTCCGAGCTGGGACTGAGGCTGAGCCATCCATGCTTCCAGTGCTGAGTGTGTGACCATGAACTGGGTTTTTTTTTTTTTTTAATTGGTTTACTCATTATTATTATTTTTTTTTTTTTGCACAAAACAAATCACCTCAGAGATTCCTCTTGCAACTCTTTCCTTATCAGTTTCCAGTTTTTGCTAATGGAACTGATGGCCCCAATTAACAATAGCACTGTGTTGAAAACACCTCGCCTAATTGTGAATTCTTCCTCCACCCCAGGTCCCTTCTTCTTTCCCTAAGGCCTGTGTGTCAGGCTCTATCTGAGTACTGACTGCTCTCAGGACTCAGCTCAAGCCCCACCTCCTCCTAGAAGCCCACTCTGACCTCTCCAGCCCACCATGAGCTCCCTCCTGTTTGAGCTCAAGCACTCTCTGACTTATCTTCCCTTCAACACTCCCCGACAACTAGCGTTTGTCTCCACTGCAGGGTTTCCACAAGTGTTTATTGATCACCAAACTGCTTTCTTCCTCCCCCTCCCTCCCCTAGCCCCCGGGCTGGCCAGGGCAGCTCCAGCTCACCTGGGTGCAAGGCTTGAAATGATGGAAGCAGAGCTGCACAAGTGGAAACAAATTGATTGCACAGGAAGCATCTTACGGTTTTAATTTTCAAAAATCTGTCTTGTTGAAAAAGTGTCTCGCAGCTTCCTCTGGTCACGGATCACACTGATTTGTGTTTACTCTTTAGGATTTCCAGATCCTGCTGGAGCTAATAGAGTTGGTTCACAAGCATATTTGTCAGAAACAAGAACCTCTCAAATCAAGATCTTTCTCTGTGTAAGTAATGTCATCTATCAGCCTCCCGGTTGCTTCCCTCAAGACTTCCCACAGGGTATTAGGTTCATCACCCCAGCAACACGGAAGCTTCAAACTGTCCTTTGGGCTCCATGGACGTCTCCTGCAGTTAATAGGTATAGGGAGACCAGATATGAGCTCTGATGATGCCAAAAGGAAGATTCTTTCTGCAGAGCAGGCTGCCTACAGCGTGTATGCCAAAGCTCCTCTCTGATGAATTTCAGCAATCAGAGCCCTCTGTGCAACTGCACCCGAAAAGGTTAATTACGGTACAAATCTAATCTGTCACTCTGCTTAAATCCAATAGCTCCCCTTTGCCACATGATTTGGTTCAGTTTTCCTTTTAATTTTTTAAGTCAAATTTTTTAAGAAAATTTTACCAAAGTTCTCCCAACAGTAACCCTTGCAAAGTTAGAGTATAATGTCACAAATCAGTTATTGACATCCTGCAGAAGGAGTGGGGTGCCCCAGTGGAAGAAGAGTGGGTGCTCCTCCTTACTGCTGGGTCGGGTGGGAGTTCTGGCCTCTGTGTAGTCTCCATTGACACCATGAAGGCAGGTTTGTTACTCCCCAATGGGCAATGAAGTCCCAGATCCCACCCACCCTCCCTGACACCTCCCTGGTGTGGAGGCTGGGGGCCTGGTGACAGCCTGGCGGAGGCGGAATCTAGGTTCCTTACTGGGCCTTTGCTGGTGTGGGTGGCCGTGGGGCCACAGCTTTCTCTAGGGCATTTGCCTGGAGTAGAGCTGGTATTATCTCAGAGTTTTCTGTCTTTCTGGGCTGCCCTTTTCCTGGTCCTTTGGCTACAGAGAGCAGGATTTTGCTGGGGCTTTTTTGGTCTGTGCTCCATGGCATTTCTGAGTTGCCAGGTACATCAGTTCCAAGTCTGTGATCTATGGAGCAAAAAAAAAAAAATCCACTGAACGCATCACTGTGTCAGTCCTGGGGTCCGGAGGTCCCTCCTTGGTCTGCCTTCTTCTTCCCACTTTTCAGAGTCTTATAATATCCAGGTTTTTCAGGTGAACTTAGCAGGAACAGGAACAGGAAAAAGTATAAGTAGTCCATCTTTTTGGACGCAGAAGATCCCAGGTGTCTTTTTCAAACCTGTAACGCTGTGATCCATCCCCTGCTGGCCTCTCCAGCACTCTTGCCACACCCTGCTTCATGCCTGATGCTCAAACAGCAGCTACGTGCAAAACAGCCCTGCCCTTGCTCCTGCCATTCCCTTCGTCCGCTCTATCACTACAAAAAACAACATAGCACTTACGTGCCAGGCACTTGATACGTAGTAATTATGAATTAAGTACTATGATTACAGGAATGAAGAAACTGAGGTCCAAAGAGATTAAGTAATTCACTTCAGGTCACCCAGCAAACTGCAGAGCCGGCATCTGAACTGAAGCAGCCTGGTTCTGAAACCATGTCCCTAGCTGCTCACTTCCCTCTGCCACCTCCCTGCCAGTTCCGGTTGTGTAACTTGAGTGCGCATCAGAATTCCCTTGAGGGCTTGAAAACACAGACTGCTGATCCACCCCGAGAAATTCGCCTTCAGTCATTCTGGGGTGGGGCCCAAAAATTTGCATTTCTAACAAGTTCCCAGGAGTGCTTATTCTACTTTCTGGGAAGCACACTTGCAAACCACTCGACCTTCCACCCTCTCCTTCACCCCGACTTACCCTGTTCATTGCTACCCAGCCTTTTCGATTCAGCACAGTATTACCACACCTGATCTGACCTCCTCTTCCTTCTTCCTACTCTTGCTTCTTCTCCAGGAGTCCTCAGATAGTCCTCCCAGGTTCCCTTAGCAGTCTCAGCATATCTCAATCATTGTAGTTGCCACATTATATGGCAATTATCTGTTTATATGTCTTGTTTCCATCCCCAGAGAGGTTAGTGCAGGACAAAGTAGTCCCCCCTTATGGATATATTCCAAGACCCTGATGCCTGAAATCACGGATACCACTGAACCCTATATATACTATGTTTTGTCCTGTACATACATATCTATGATAAAGTTTAATTTGTACATTAGGCACAGTAAGAGATTAACAACAATAAGTTATAATGAAATAGAACAATTATAACAATATGATGTAATAAAAGTTACTGTAGGTCTTGGCAACCTCAGCATATGATTTTTTTTCCTTTCCTTATTAAGTCTAGAACTTTCACCTTTTCACTGAAAGGAAGCATTTTACTTGTTCTCTTTGGCATATCCGAATTGCCAGCATCACTACCTCGCGCTGCAGTGCCATTATTAAGTAAAATAAGGGTTACTTGAATGCAAGCACTACCAGTTGATCTGATAACCGAGATGGCTACCAAGTGACTAACTGAGGCATATACAGCATGGATACCCTGGACAAAGGAAGGATTCACAGCCAGGCAGGATGGAGCTGGAAGGCACCAGATTTCATCACGCTACTCAGAACCACTGGCAATTTAAAACTATGAATAGTTTATCTCTGGAATTTTCCATTTAATATTTTCAGACTGAAGTTGACCTTGGGTAACTGAAACCATGGAAATCGAAACCACGGATAAGGAGGGACTGCTGTATGCCCTTAGAAAAATTTTTTTCTTCTCAGTCTTGATGAATGTCACTACAATTTACCCAGTTATGGAAGCCAGAATGCCGAGAATCATCACTAACTCCTTCCCTCCATGGGTTCCATGTATCAATTCTATTTCTAAAATGTCTCTAGACCCTGTCCTTTTTCTCTTAGTTCCTATTTCCATGCAAGAATTTCACTCCATGTCTTGTTTCATAGACGCTCTTCTCTTCTTCCATATTGCAGTCAGGGTTATTTTTCCAAACCCGATTTGATCATGTCATTTGCAACTCCTCCTCTTGTCTTTAAAACTTTTGAAGTCTCCCCATCGCCGATAGGATAAATGTTATGCTCTGCGGTATGGTCTGTAAGGCTCTCCAGGACCTATCACTCAGTCACTCAACCAGCATCATGTTGTATTTTTCGTCTTTCGCCATATGCTTCATCCACGCTGATCATTCTCTAATTTTAGACATTGTTTTGTGCCACAGGATCTTTGCATGTGCTGTTCTTTCTAAAAGCAGAACATTTACAATTCTATTTACTTTTGAAGAAGCAGGTCTCCCTGCCATCCTCCCTCTTCTGTTTTTCTTGGAGCTGTAGAACTTCTGCAGAGTCAGGAGTGAAGGCTCTTGGGGTTCTTTACCCTGTGTTACACAGCTGAAGGTCCCCATATCGTCCCTGGGGGCCACTGTCAGAGTCTAGGCTTAATATGACCCAGTCCAAGCTTCCTTGAGTTCTTGGTGGAGATGGCAAAAAGAATTGTTTTTGGGCCTGCCTCCTTCTACTTCCTAACATTCTGATCTTTGGCATATGAGCCTCATTCATCAAATTACGGCGATATTATCTACTCGGCAGGAGTCTTGACACTACATGAGCAGATACAGGTGAAAGCCTTTTATAAGCTGTAAATACTGTTTTAGTTATGATAAATATATTCTTCATTCTTTTACACTTTCCTTTTTATATTTCCCTTCTTCCTCTCTTTCCTCTTTCTTCATTTTTCTGTATCGTTTCTTTTCTCCACCTATATTTTTCACGTCTATTTTCTTCTTCTTTCCATGAGGACTCACGGTCAAATTCATAAGCAACTTTAGCCCCTCTGGGTGTCCTTTAGATGCTGATCCCTTCACTTGCATAAAGTGCCACCAAAGCATCTCATGGTCTTGACAAGGCTTCCATTTCTCCCATTTGTTCAAATTTCTCTTCTGGACACTAACAACTCTTCTTGGCCTGGTGAAGAGTTCTCCAACTTACACGATCTCTTTGTTGGACTTTTTAAAAAGACTTTCTGTGTAACATTGTCAACTGATTAACCTTTAGGCCTGAAAAAAATGGGAATATCAGAGCAGTAATATTTTCAGCTGTTTTCCAGTGAAGGGTGCATCAATCATAGAAATGTCTTTGACTCCTGTTTGGTTACTGCACCACCAATTGAGTATAACTTTCTGAGTTGAAGGAGATAATGGTTTCTTGGGGTAATAAAGCTGTCAGGAAGAGGGAGACTTTCATCCAACTCCATAAAAAATGCGAAAGCTTTGGGGGGCGGCACAAGGACGTGGAGGAGATGGGAACATCTGGAGAATCTAGAGACCTAAACAGTCTTGTAATTTATGGCCATGAGAGAAATGCAGTGGGCCAGGAGCCTGGAAACCTGGGTTCCATTCTCACCCCATCACTGACTTCCAGAGTGACCTTGGGCAAGTTGCCTGACCTTTCTTTACTTCTCGTCTTCATTCGATAGGCAAGGATAATAATGCTACTTTTGTATTTATCCACTTGCTACCCAAAGAGACTTTTTCTTTCTTTCTCTCTCTTTTGGTAGATAAATGAGACAAACTTTTGAAGCTGTTGCATAAATTCAAGGTCTTATTCTCATCTCATATGTATGTATATATAGAAAGAGGTTTAATTTATTTTATTAGGAATTCATCAGACCTAGGATGCCAAGAAGTTTAATGTTAAGGTCATGCCAATTTTAAAGAGGAAGTTTTATTTCTCTCTTTCAGTGGATAAATGAGGCACCCTTTTAGAAGCTGTTGCATAAATTCAAGGTCTTATTCTTATCATACATACATAGTTTTATTTACTATGAGCTTCAGTTTATTTTACTAGGAATTCATCAGGCCAGGGATGCCAAGAAGTTTAATTTTAAGGCCATGCCAATTTTAAAGAGGAAGAAAGTGAAGCTCAGGGAAATTGGTATTTGCAGAATCAAATTAATCACACTAGTTTTCTCCTGTTTAATCACAGACCCACAGGACAAAAGAGAAACTTTGAAGATATAATCAGAGGACCTTGAAAGAACAGCTACCTGTATTTAATTATTGGTAAGTGGGTCATATTCAGTATGGAATAGCAGCGACATGTCCACCGTCCAGCTGGGTGTCACATAGCATAGTGGAGCAGGGACAGGCTTAGGGCTCAACTCAGGTCCCTCCTCCATGTGAATTTCCCAAGTCACAATGATATCATTTACCTTGGTACTCATATGTCTTACCACTCGTAGAATTTACTGTTTTTTGAAATTGTGTCTGTCACTATAATTTGACTTTTAAGGGATCATTATTACTGTGGTTACAAATTCATTTGTTCATTCCACAAATATTATTATGTGTCCATGAGGTATCAGTTAATATGACGGCCTGGGAGACAAAGTGGTGGGCACAGCAGGTGTGGCTCCTGCCTTCATTGACTGTGGGGCTGGGAGGAGAGACGTCAAAACATTGCCATGTGGGTATCTGATTGAACTGGTGATTAGCGCAAGAAGAGACAGCCCCAGGAGCTACGTCGATAGAAGCGGTGATCGTCCCGTAAGTGATTTCACCTGATGTTATTATAGCTCCTCCGTCCCTTTCATCTTCCTTGAGGCCACTCCATCTGCCCCACCAACATCCCTGCCTCACTGTGGTGTATTTTCAAATTTTTATTTAGTTTTCCATTTTTAATTGTGGTAAAGTACGCGTAACATAAAATTTACGATTGTAATCATTTTATGTGTACACTTTTGTAGTGTTAACTACCTTCACATTATTGGGCAACCACTACCTCCATCCATCTCCAGAGCTCTTTTCACCTTGCAAATCTGAAGCTCTATATCCGTTAAACGACAGCTCTCCAGTCCCCTCTCCCTGTAGCCCCTGGGAACCACCGTTCTATGTTTAGTCTCTATGAGTTTGACTCTGATAGGTACCATATATAAGTAGAATCATACGGTATTTGTGTTTTTGTGACTGGCTTATTTCACATATTAAAATGTCCTTAAGGTTCATCCATGTTGTAGCATGTGTTAGAAATTTCCTTCTTTTTAAGGCTGACTAATATTCTGTTGTATGCATATACAATATTTTGCTTACCCATTTTTCTGTCAATGGACAGTTGGGTTGCTTCCACTTTTTGGCTATTGTGAATCATGCTGTGTAGGGGAGGAAGAATATTCCTGTCCTCTCTAGGTTCTTCCAGCTGGTCTAAAAATTAAATTGACCTGAGAAAGAATAACAGGAGAAAGTCAAACAAAATTTAATAATGTGTATACAGGGGAGAAACCCAGGAAAACTGAGTAACGTGCCAAAATGGGAAAGCCACCACCTTTATATCACCTTCAGCTAAAGACAAAGGAGGATGTTGAGGGTAGTGATTTGGGACTTCAAAAGAAAGGAGGGCAATTTACACAGAGATGGAAAAGCAAATGTTTGGTAAACAAATGTTTGCTGGACCATGACCTTGCTGGGTGCCTTCCTGTCTACCACACCTAGAGTTATCTATGGGGATAGCTCCTTCCTGGGCCTTTTATCTTAAATTCTGTTAGGCAGTAAAGGGGAAAGGTTAAAGTTTCTTTCTGAGTCTTTTGTTCTTAAAAATAATCAAGCCAAAGAGACACATTTTGGGGTGGCAAATTCTGATCCCCCACAGCTTCCACGAAGGTGAGCGTACAAATATCTCTTTGAGACCTCGTTTTCAATTCTTTTGTGTATATACCCAGAAGTGGAATTCTCTGTTTAGTTCTTTTGAGGAATGTGTATCTTGTATTTGGTTTCTGTTCTGACTACAGCCACACTGTCTCTGGCCAGTGTCATACCTCGTGGTCAGTGCAGGGCCTGTCTTATCTATATTTGTTTCTTTTTTTTTTTCTCATTTAGGAAGATTGTGCCAAAACCATGGTGTGCTTTTGCTTGTTCTTTTTCCTTTCCTGATCCACTCAGAACTTGTATAAGACCCCCTAAGTCAATCTCTTTAACTAAAGCACATACACATCGTCTTTTCTGGTTCTCAATTCATTGAATCATAGATCCCTAATCATGGTAGATAAATGACTATAAGATCATCAGTGATAACTTGAATATCAAGGGAAAAAAAGCTCTTTGTTTACAGTGAATGTAGAAATTTTAAATGTCAAGAAAGTCAGTGCCATCAACCTTAAAAGCCCTTGGAACAGCCATGACCCCCCCTCAGAGTTTCTACAGCCTTCCCTTCCTCTCCAAGCTTCCTTTACTTAGTTCTTTTCCTCAAACTTCAGCATTCAAGATAATGAAAAAGCTGTTTTCGTATTCAACTCTATTGTTTTTCTGTGCTGTTTCATTACCAGTTTCGAAACTTGTTGTTTTGTACTATTTTGCATCACAAACGTGCAGAATTTCAACTACATTTAAGGTCCTTCCCAACCCTGGAATTCGATAATTTTATATTACAGAAAAAATAGGTCTCTTGAGGGCTAACTTGAGAACTTAACCACCGTTGATAACATTTTTTTTCCCTCTGAGGAAATCGTCCTTGAGGCTTGAATTCTAACCAACAGACTTATAAATAAATACATAGCATGTGATTCTTTTTCAAGCAGGACCATCCAGATTACAAGCTGTTTTCAGTAGTGGACTGTTTTACATACAATCATCTCTTCCAAAGTACCTGTTACAATGCCTTCCACATGAGAAGTGTTCCGTGGACATTAGTTGAAAGATTGAAAGAGGGAGAGTCCACATTCTCTCTCTGCACAATTCAGATTTGGAGTGTCACAGCTTCTTTTGTCTTGTCTAGCGCAGAAATCAATTTCTACTTGCTTTGTCCTTTGTTAAGCTAGAAGCTGCTGATTCTAAGCGTAATTAGGTTTTTGAAAATTATGAAATGCCAGCCATACAAAAAAGCACAGAGAATTATATACCATATCCCCACCGTTTACACTTAATAGATATTAAGTATTTTGCAATACTTGCTTCAGATAGTTTTTTCTTTAAGAAATAAAATGGTACAGTTAAGCTGTCTTTACATCGACCTCCATTCTTATTCCTTTTCTCTCTTCCCCTCACCAGAGATGACCATCATCTTTAAGTTGGTTTGTTTTATTTTCATGCATAATTTTATATTTTACTACATAATATGTTTTTGTAGACAATATAGGTATTGTTCTGCGCATTAAAAGAGATACTAACAGTAAAATACTGTATATAGCCTTTTGCAATTTGCTGTTTTTATTTAACATCAATTTTGAAGTCTATTTATGTTGATACATATAAATCTAGTTCATAGATATTAACCGTTATATAGAATTCCATCATATCAATAAACCATAGTTTATTTTTCCGTTCTCTCTTGATGGACAGGGTTTTGCAGGAAACAGAACCTAGGACCAAAGCTCACATGGAGGCCAAAGCTTCTTAAGGAGTTTGGTTCCAGGGAAGCAGGAGTGAAGGAAAGGTACAGTGAGGTAGGAAAGGAGGAAGAGCTGATGTGAAGATTCTGGCGACTGCTTGCTGTCCAGGCTGCTGATTGCATGATGTTGTGGAACTGTCTGCCAAATACCGATCTTGTGGGACACATCGTACTGTGTGAACTGTTATGTCTCAGGACAGTCCTTGGGAAGGGAGAAGAATTTAACTACTACCTAACTGCCATTTATCAAAGATTTGCCCCATGTAGGCTTGTCACGTTTAGCACGTAGAAATATAAGATACCAATTACATTTGAATTTCACATAAACAACAAATAATTTTTTAGTATAAGTATATCCAATGCAAGATTTAGGACATATTTATGATAAAAAGTTATTTGGTGTTTATCTGAAATCCAAATTTAACTGGACATACTTCCAGAGAGTGCCGTGGGAATGCTGACTGGGTCGTCACATAATACCTTGCACATCAGAGAATTACAGATGTGTAGTTGGAAGACACCTTAAAGACCATCTGCAAGAGTACCTCTCAATGTTTTTCCACTTCTATGCTTCTGAGTCTCATAACACACTCCTGCTCATAACAATGGCCAATAATAATAACTAATGATATCTCAAGTGGGACGTATGTTACTATGAGTGAGAATCTGGTGATCGTGGTGGTGCATTGTGAGTTTGTATACGTGCATGTGTTTGAGAGAGCGAGAGAAAGAAAAAGAGACACATTAGGGCAGAGTTGAGAGGCACATGTTTTGAAAACATATTTTGAAAAATTCTCCCATCAATTCTAATATATCTTTCCATGGTTATGTGCCCCAATCCCTTCACCAAATCACTGATTATCTTTGGGGATCATGGAAGACTGTCTCAGGAAGTATTGTTTGAGCTAAAATTTGGGGCTTGAGTAGGAATTAACTCCATGAAGAGAAATGGGATTGAGGAAAGCATTTCAAGCAATAGGAGCAGCTTTTTCAAAGGGAGGGAGCATGGTGTGTGTGGGAAAACTGAAAGATGGCAAGAACAGCTGAGGCAAAACAGGGGAAGAGTGATGAGATAGGTGGCTGGAGAGACAGGTGGAATCCCCACCCTGTAGGCTTATATGCCTTGTTAAGGATTTTCGACTTTATCCTAACAACAATGGGCAGCCATAGACGGATCTGACTTGAGGAGAAACAGGAATTAATCTTGTTTTTTATAAGAACAGTGTGGAGAGCAGATTTGAAGGGATATCCTTTAGACAGTGAATGTCCAGCTGGGACATGACGTTGGATTGGTGTAAGGAGTGGAAGTGGAGATTCAGAGAGGTAGATGCGTTCGAAAGATCGTTATTGGGTAAAATCAACAGGACTTAGTGCTTTGGAAGGGAAAGAGAGGTATTAATAAAAGATGTGTCTTAGGTCTCTGGCTTACATGGTCGGATGGCAAGTGGTGCCAGTCGTTGACATAGAGAGCCCTACAGCAGGATGGATGTGGAATTAATGTGGACCTGATTATTATGAAGTGCTTTTAGGACACCTAAGTGGAGATGTCAGAGACCATTGAATGTCTGAGTGTGACATTTGGAGAAGTGATTTGGGCTGGAGTTAGAGGTTGGTGACCCAAGCCATGGGCATGAATGAGGATGCCTTAGCACAGAGTATAGGTTAAAGAAAGACCAGAGAACTA